GGCCTCTGAGAGGAATGAGACAGCCAATGAGACGGTGTGGTGAAGCATGCCTGTAATCCGTTTTTGGGAGGCTGTACATAGGTGGATCATTAGGACTCCAATCTAGTAGTGAGACCATGAACACCTTGTAGACCTTTTCCTAAAATACAAACAAACAAACAAATAAGATTGTTAGATTAAGTGAGTCTGCGTGCTGGGATCATACACAAGCATGTCTTGCACAACAAACACCCAACACACCTCCACTCTTGATCAGCCTGGGTACAGATTTCTAAACTCTATGGAACTGGGTTTTTCCTCATAGCAAGGTGAGTAGATACAAGAGATGGCCTCAGAGAGAAGTTAAGTAATCTAGAGAACATGGGCGCTGGGTTCAAAGGTCGCTTGGCAAATAAATGAAAGGATTCCAACCTCACAGCAAGTAACCTTGACCTAGAAAACACAAGTTCTTCCACATACAAGAAATGCTAGGCTGAAAGCACACGGCACTCACACAATGCCAGCCAGCAGGACACTGAAGCCAGACTTCCTCCAAGTCTGGTGATTCTCATCCCAGCTGCCCTGTATAATCAATAGTGCTTTAAATAATGCCTCTAAAAATTCTAATAGGTGGACATCAGGGTGGACATTTCTATTTTTCTTGCCTTCACCAAGCACCAATGTTGTAGTCAGCTAAATTAGATAGAAATATTATAGGCAGACAGGGCCAGGCCCTCAAGGACAAAATGGGAGACAAGATGACTTTGCAACTTTGGAAGAGACGGACACTCCAGCTTTGGGTCCCTTGTCAAGACCAAAGTAAACAAATACAGCCACATACATTCCTAGGGATGGGCATCAGGGATTGATATTCTAAATCGGTATCAATCACTTTGAAAGAACCCTAAACAGTCACTAAATCAACCCCCAACAGGAAGAGACCCAGTCCTGTGACTCACTTCCTCATTTGGTCCTGGATTTAACCTTTACCTGAGCAAAGTTGCTTATAATCTCAGTGGTTGACCCGTAGTTTTGTTCCATCTCATGCCCACCTAAGCCAGTTTTCATGTTCTTCACCTCAAACCTGCCTCAACTGCAAGGTTTTACTCTATAAAAAGTCCCTGGAAGAGACATCTTCCCAGGGACAACCTGCTTGGGTCCCCCTTCTGTCCCTCTCTTGGACAGAACTTTTCTTTCCCTCAATAAACATTCTGCTCTTAAACTCCGTTTGTTCCTAAAATTCATTCTTCGGTTTTAGAGAACACGAACTCGTCCCGGTATCTCTCAGGTCGGGAGTTTCATTTCCGTGTCACCAAGCCACGGAACCATTTCCTTTTTCAGGACAGCTGCCACAGATCATGGCAGAGATGCCAGCATCTGGAAAGATGTGTCACAGAAATCAGATTCTGCTTGGATTAAAAAAAATACATATCTTCCCACCACACACGGGTTTGCACTCCAGATGAAGGGATTCCACTCTGCTTCCATAGAATTCCCCGAGCCTTTGCTTATATGGCTGTCTGCCTTAGGCCAGCCAGAGGTTAAGACAATCACTGGTCAGCTTTTACCCCCTGCCTTTCCTTCAAGGACCATTTCAAGTCATAAGCAACGTCAGCTTGAAAAGAAGCCCAATAGAACCAAGAGCCCAGGAGAACAGCACCTGAGAAATTTTTGCATGGCCCTGGAACGATTTTTGTCATTGCAGAAATAGTGACCAGGTATCTACCATGGTAGCAAAAGTTAACAGCGTGACCCGGGGTCCCGCAGAAGGATGGCTTTTCAGGTTGGACTGGAAGACTAGGGGTGTAGCACTTGCCCTAGAGTACCAGGTTATTAGGGCATAAAGCAAACTATTGTCAGGCGGGCAAGTGAAAGTGACCAGATCAGGAAGTATGTCCAGAACCTCACATAATTTCTACGGGAGCTTTAAGTCCTCATACTTTACTTTCCAGTTAGCTATGGATGATCGTTGCTGACCAATCATTCTCCGCAAGAACAGTGTAGGTTTAAAACTACCTAATTTCTGTTTCCTGCCAAATTAAAACAAAACACCGTAGTATTTTAGTATTCGTTTTCCACACAGGTTCTTGCTGCGTACTTCAGGCTAGCCTTAAAAATGTATCCCAGGATACCATCAAAGTCTGCAACTCTGCTGAGCCTCAAACTGGGACTGCAGGCATGCAACAACGCCTTCAGCCAGTTCTTACAAACTTTAGGTTCAGTATCACAAGGCCTAAAACTTACCTCGGCACTACCTAGTGTTTTTAGCTCTTCTTTTGAAATGGTGGGGGCTCTGAAAAGAGCCTTTGGGTTTAGTGTGGGTTCCGGAAACTCAGACGCCTATGAAATCACTTGCCCTTGGCCTTGTGGTGGCTCTCGGTCTTCTTGGGCAGCAGCACGGCCTGGATGTTGGGCAGCACGCCGCCCTGCGCGATCGTCACCTTGCCCAGCAGCTTGTTGAGCTCCTCGTCGTTGCGGATGGCCAGCTGCAGGTGGCGCGGAATGATGCGCGTCTTCTTGTTGTCGCGCGCCGCGTTGCCCGCCAGCTCCAGGATCTCGGCCGTCAGGTACTCGAGCACCGCCGCCAGGTAGACCGGGGCGCCGGCGCCCACGCGCTCGGCGTAGTTGCCCTTGCGCAGCAGGCGGTGCACGCGGCCCACGGGGAACTGCAACCCGGCGCGAGAGGAGCGAGACTTGGCTTTGGCGCGAGCTTTTCCTCCCTGCTTGCCACGTCCAGACATCTCAAATACACTTTGGGACCTATAAGACAAAAATATGGCTCACAGAAAAGCAAGTACAGTAAAGGAGGAAGTGAGACGTGGCTCCTTTTATAGCTAGTTCCTGGATCGTAAAATCTACCACCTGATTGGCTAGAAATAGTATCATGAAGTGAGCCAATAGAAAATCTGTATTTCCATCCTTCATTTGCATAGTTCTGCCCATGTATGACGGCTCAGCCGTTTGTCTTCCAATTATCTAAGAGTTTCTCTGAATCCTTCATTAGCATAAACGCCCTATAAATAGCAGAAATCTGCTTGTTATTTTCATTCCACTTCAGTTTTGAGATCTTAGAGATGCCTGAGCCAGCGAAGTCGGCGCCTGCCCCGAAGAAGGGCTCCAAGAAGGCGGTGACCAAGGCGCAGAAGAAGGACGGCAAGAAGCGCAAGCGCAGCCGCAAGGAGAGCTACTCGGTGTACGTGTACAAGGTGCTCAAGCAGGTGCACCCGGACACGGGCATCTCGTCCAAGGCCATGGGCATCATGAACTCGTTCGTCAACGACATCTTCGAGCGCATCGCGGGCGAGGCGTCGCGCCTGGCGCACTACAACAAGCGCTCCACCATCACCTCCCGGGAGATCCAGACGGCCGTCAGGCTGCTGCTGCCCGGGGAGCTGGCCAAGCACGCTGTGTCTGAGGGCACCAAGGCTGTCACCAAGTACACCAGCTCCAAGTAAACTTCCCAAGTAAGCTTACCGCATCTACCACCAAAGGCTCTTTTAAGAGCCACCCATTTGTTCACAAAGAGAGCTGTCTGCACTGTTTAGTTGGGGGAGGGGTAGCTGATGAGGCACTTTATTGTCAAAGGAATGGGTTTGTTTTAGTGGCTCTGCAGAGTATTAGACATCTATTGTCTGTAGTTACACCTCATTGGTTTGCTTACATACACCCGGGGCAATTCTTTATGTGAACCTCAGGGGTCAGTGCCTGCCAGGATTTGTCTAGCGTTTGAGGCCTGAACTGTAGATTTAAAAGGGGCAATCCGGATTGAAAATGATCCATTTCTGAAAAACGCAGTTGCGAGTGTCAGTTATAACACTGGGAAGCCTGCAAGGCCCGCAGCTACCGACTCTGCTCCTAGAACGAAGGTGAGACAATAGAGAAACCGGAAGGCGTGGTTTAGCGTCCTGGAGTTTTTCCAGGTCTGAATCCAAGCTGATTTCCTGGATTGGGAAATTGAACCTTTTAGTTTTTAGAATTTTTGTTCTACAGAAATGTTAAAATAGAAGCTGTTTACCCATCTCATTTAAGCCTACGACATTTTGTACACGAACAAATTTCTCCCTCGAAAATACTCGTACGAGCAAAACGTTAAAAACAATTTTACAATTTTTAGATGAAATCCCTGTAATTTGAGCTAACAAAATTACATAAAGACTCTGTGGCCCGCAACCTAGTTTTCTTTGATCCAGGAGTGTAAAATAATCTCTGTCTGCCTGGAACAAGCCTTCAGCTACTGGCTGCCAGGTCTTAGCATACCGGAGATTCCTCTGGAAACGATGCAGCAATTAAGGTGAAAGTGCAACTACAGGACTAGGATCCCTTGTTTTACTCGCTCCACAGCCAAGTCTTAAGCTTTTTTGAGCCCTCCACAGCGTTTTCCTGTGCCCCAGGTGGTCCGTGGGGGCACTGATGCCCCGCTCCATCTCACCTCTCTCCGAACTGAAACTAAGCAGCTAATCACAAATCTGGAACGGGGTTCACTGTTCCCAGGCAGAAAATTTCTCCACTCCTTTTCCATTTTATATAAATGCTGTTTTTCTTGCCTGCGATGAGGTAATGCTGCTACGTACTGCTGCTCTCCTCAGTCAAGAAAACAGACTGATCTTTATTTCTGGAGGTTCCACCAGGTGATGTTTGAAAGTAGCAACAGGAATCCGGCAGTGTGGGGCCTGCATGCTCTTCTCTTTTAGCTTTGTCCTTTAAGGTTTTGCTCATGTTTTCTTGGCTCTTGCGTGCTACACTTCATTCTTGCCCAGGTTTGCTTCTTGTTCTGGCTCTTAACTCTGGTCAGTTGTTGTTGAGGGCTGAGAATATGGTTCATTTATTAATTTTTAAAAGTTAGTTGGTATTGGTCTAAGGATTTTGACATTCTCTGTATGTGGAAACCAAATCTGGGAGTTAGTACTTTTCTTTCTGGTCATGATGCTATTAATAAATTGTACTGTAAATTTAAATTTTAATTGATTTATATAAAGATTTTTAAATACATATATTTAAATCGATGTCAATTTTTCTAAAGAATCAAAATTCATTAAAGGTTCTATTTCCAGATTGTAACTGAAAGAAAAGTAAATGTGACTTTAATGGTTTTAATTAACACTATATAAGAAATTTTAAAAAAGTACTTCATTGTTCTAAAACAACTTAAATTGGTTTGAGGGGTTAAGACAGTCTCTCACATTGTAGTGCAGGCTGGCCTTGAACTCACTATGTACCCCAGATGGGGCTCTAACTCCCAGTGATCTTCCTGAGTGCTGGGATTAAGGTTTGTGCCACCAGGCTTGGTCTCAATTTAAAACTAATTAATTTGAATTAAGCTTTTATTAGATTTATTGGTTAGATGTCACTGTACTAGTTTTAAAATTGTAACTTCATTGAACTAAATTAATTTATAACATTTAAAATGGAATTACTTTTATAATTTTATGCTTTGTAAGGAATCAATATATCAGCTTAAAAACTGACCTTATAACTTATAACTTGAAGAATTTAGATAAATATTCAGTTAAGGAAACTATGCCAAATCTTTGGGTACCTATAGTTTCTTGTGTGGAATTTATAAAATACAAATTCCTAAAAAGTGTTCTTAATGTAAGTCTATTTCTAGATACTTTATATTGATGATGATGTCACTTAGATCTGTAAAGTGGGTGGACCAAGTACGTGGACTTGGTCCAAAAGAACCAAACAAGTTTGTATGACTGCTTCTCTCATACTGGAGGAAAGACAATTGCCTGCTGTGTTTAGGGCTGCTGTTCATACAAACAGCTCTGATGCTGCCAGGTAATGGAGCTGCAGACAAGCGTAAATAAGCATACAAGATAAAGAACGTTTATTATTTAAGAAAGTTGGTGTTATTCTGTGATCTTGTAATTCAATTTAATATGTCTAATCACTTTAAAATTGTAGCTTTTTTTCTGGCTTTTTATATATTCCTAATCTATGTCCGTATCTTAATATAATACAATTGGGTTTTTTTGGCGGAATTGAGGATTGAACTCAGGCCCTGAGCTTGCCAGAGAAGCACTTATTCTACTGAGCCATCTCCTCGGCCCCTATAACACACATTTTCTCTGACTTTTTTTTAATTTCATGTATTTGATATAGTGTCTCATTGTGTTGCATGGACTAGTAATGATCCTGCTGTTTCAGTCTCCCCAGCACTGGAATTATAGGTATGTGCCACCATGTCTGGTCTTTTGGCTCTTATTTTCTAACTATTCTAAATTCCAACTCTAGGGGCTGGGGAGATGGCTCAGTGGAATAAGTGCTTCCCTGGCAAGCACAAGGGCCTGAGTTCAATCCCCAGTTCCGGAAAAAAAAAAAAAAAAAAAAAAGACTAAATTCCAACTCTAAATTCAACATAATGAAAGTCTTAAGATATCTTTTATACAAAAAACAAAACTGGGGGCAAGCAAGATAGCTCAGTGGTCTAAAGCGCTTGCTTAGGCAAGCTTGGGAAGGCACAGGGGACCTTGGTTTGATCCCAGGAAACCACATGCTGCGCCAGCCCCGCCCTCAGGGCAGGCTGAACCAGCCAAAATAAATAAGCTTTTAAAAAAATTTCTGGAGTCCACTTGATAGTCATTGAACAATATATTTTTTTTTTTACCCTCACTGTAAAAATTCTAAAATAATTAGTTACATTTGAGAGTTTCTAGAAAATAACTAGCTGTAGTCAATAAAACAAATGCTTAGAAAATCTTTCAGTTAATGGAAGAACAAACTCTTCATACTGAACTCTTTACAAAAAATAATGTACAAATGCAATATACTATTTCTAGACAGTCTACAATTATTTTCTTTTCTTATCAATTAAACATTAGTTTTTAACCTTTATTGGATAAAAAATTAGTCTATTTCTTGATATACCTTGTACACAGTAAAAGTGTGTTAATAGTTCACATATTTTTGAGTTATTATTTCACAAACTCAATCACCCTGAGCCTGTTGTATGCTATTAATTATCTACTCATAAGCAATGAAGATGAAATGTAACTAAGAGACACTCATTCCGCAAATCGCATCATGTCAGGAAAGTGGCTGCAAAGCATTGTTCTGTGACGAACATAGCGAAGTCACTGTAGACAGAAGCCCTGGGCTTGACTTCTGGCTCATCATTTCTGGGCTCCAGACTGAGGCAAGTCATTTACATCTCTCCTCATCTGTAACTCAAGCATGAGGGGACCAGCACACAACTTCTGGAGGTGGTTAAGATTCAAATGCATAAGAAGTACTGTTTACTGCTATTTGACAAATAATATTTATTTATAACTGTCTTCACACTAAAAGGCCCATGGTGGCTTATGAGTTAAGATTTTGGTGAGTTAGTGTATGATAAATAATAGGAATTTTATTTAAAATAAAATTATTTTTTATTATTTAAAATAAAAGAGAATTGGTTATATTGTACTCATCCAATAGACTGAGAGGAAATACATATTTTCCCACACTTATTTATTTCTTTAGGTATATTCCTCAAAACATTAAAAAACAACTGTCATTCCAGATTTGCAGAAAAACAGGGTATAGGACTTTGGGGAGTATTTGAAGAGTGCCCAGGACTCTAGGCTCTTAGATCAGAGACTGAACTTGATCTGGCCAATTCTAAGCCTGTCAGGTTGGAATTCAATCTGTTGGAAATGAAAGGCAGTGGCAACGGGACTGCAGCTGGCCAGCATGTGAACTGCGTGCGGTGGATGGTCTGAATGGACTTGAAAGAATTTTATCTTTTCTTCAAGATTCTCAGGAAGCTCCTGATACATTCATGCTTTGACAGCCCTGCCACTGCCTCTGAGGGGACCCTTCCTAGCTTCCACCACTGATCTTTGGGCCTTTCCACCACAGATCCGTGAAGCAGAGCTGCATAAATCTCGTAGGCGCTGGGCCTCCCGTTGGACTTGTGGGAGGCACCGGTATGAGCGCTAGGTTTTCAGCTGGACTCATGCAGGATATTAGGATCCAGGCCCTCAGCTGGAGTCTTTAGTGTTTATATGTGAGGACAGATTTCCTGAACTTCTTATATATGAATTTTGGGTGGTTCATTATTAAATACTGTTATAAAATGCTTCCTGTATGCTATTGTTCCCCTTGCAAAAACCCTAAACCATGACAGGGCCTGCCTCTTCTATTCCTTCCTTTATCTTGCTGTGTCCTGTCAGAAAAGCACACATCTAGCTTTCCCTAGATGCCTGCCTGATCCATATGCTTATATTCCTTATAATTTTTTCTTTCCTTCCTTATTGGCAAACTCATGCTCATTCTCTAAGGCACCTGCTCAGCTGGTGCCTTCTCCAGGACATGTCTCCAAGTATCCTCTGCTAGCTGTTCTGCATAACTGCTGCACAATTTCCACTTAAGTGACTCTACTTATCTAGATGTCACTCTTCCCTACCCACAACTGCGATATCTGAGTTCTGATTTTATCATCACATTATTCCTAGGGTCAATTGAGCACATTTTTTTTTTTTTTTAATGTATTTAGTACAGGGTCTTCACGGTCTCACTACACAGATCAGACTCATAGTGTTCCTCCTGTTTTCAGCCTCCCAAGTGCTGGGACTACAGGCATGCTCCACCATGCCCAGTCTCAGTTGCCATCTCAGGGTGCCCTGGGGGCAGAGCTAGAACAGCACACCAAGGATCAAACCCCAGCAGCTGTGCTCTGCCTAAGCAGGTGCTTCAATCCCCTGAGCTATCTAGCTGGCCCGAGCACAGTAATTTTGATTTATCTATGTGAGAAACATTTTAAATACTTTCCTATGCATCAAGTATTGATCTCCATTGTGTATAGGTCAAGGGATAGTCACAAAATCCCTGCTCTGGGCTAGGACTCTTGTAAGACAACCAAACAAACCCAAAACAGTAAATAAGGAAAACACTAGCCTGTTAGAAAGTACGAATCATGGAGAAAAACAAAGAAAAATAACCTAACAAGTTTAGTGGGGAGGGGATGGGTAAGGGTTGGGGGTGGCAATGATGAACTAATGAGGGAAAAGTTGAGCAGAAAAACCTTATATCTGAGGTTCTCAGTGGAACTAGCTAATTGTTCCAAAATTCGGAGGTGCTTGAGGTTTGCTGAGGAAAAGTTGCTACTCACTAGAGAGGAACCAAATCTGACCTTAGGGCCCTGGCTCGATGGCCTGAATAGTGGTGGGTCTGTGCTACTATGGCCTGGCAATGTGGAGTTTGATTCAAAAATAAAGATCAAAATTAGGCCAGTAATACTTGCCATTGTGTTCAATAGATTCTCATAATTTCATGGCTTGGTACCTTAGTAGGTCAGGATTTCTTCCTGTGCTCTGTGTGCTAAGGACAGACTTTGCTGCAGTCTTCCAGAGAGAAAGTCTCCTTTCATCTCAGACTTGGAGCATCTTTGGGTCTCTGAGATCTCTGCTGGAATCACTGTCAAGTCAACAGATAGAAGAAGAAGAAAGAAAAAAAAAATGCCCATGAGACAAATTGTTAGGAATTAGGCCAGGAAGCCACACTCAACATTTCTGTCCTTCCTTGACTAAATCTCAGACTTGGCTCCACTCACCTTCCAAGAAAAAAAGGAAACACAGACTGGCCCAATGACAAAAAACAAACAAACAAAAAAACCAAAAACAAAAACACCCAAACTAGGATTAGTGGATAGACAGCAAGTGAATTCTGTCAGTCATGATGTCCAGTTCTTCTTGCCTCACCTTTTCTTTTTTCCTTCCTTTCTTCTTACTGCTCTCTTCTTACTGTAAGGTCCCACCATGACTTTGCTTCAGCTGGTGACAAGGTCTCGGTGGCACAGATTGCCTGTAGCCCTAGTTTTGGGATGCTCTAGGGAGAGGGCTGCTTCCCTTTCCCTTACTTCCCTGCAGGACCACGCTTAGTTCTTAGTCCTCCAGATGCTAAAGTGCCCATCTTCAGCGCTTGGCTCCCTGGAAATGGACCCCACGTTCATGGAGCTTACATTTCCATGGGGAAGAAAGGCTGCAAATAGCTGTTGTAACAGATTCTACAGAGTGGGAGAAAGGACTGAGTTCTGGGGTTAGGGAAAAAGTAGAGAGCATTCAAAGGGGCATCAGGCATACTCATAGATATGATGATACACATATTAACATTAATGTATTAATGCAAATGCTTCATGCAACAAGAGCAGCTCATAGTGGTATAGTACTTAATATGGGATAAGCATTGTTATGATTTCCTATATTAATTCAATCAATCTTCATACAATAAAATATTAGCAGGAAAGGATAAGGGGAGTCTTTGTGGCAGAAGAAAGGAAAAATAAAGCCCTTTGGGTTCTGCCTTTTTACCATTCTGCGAAGTTGTCTCCTCTTCTCTTGGTTTTTCACTGCCATCACTGTGCTTTGTGATGAGAAAGGGCACACACAAGGTGTACACTACATGCTTCCGAGATGTGGTCCCTTTTCAGTAGAGTTTAAGAAAGTGTGGCCCTTGGATATGTTGAGACCACTGTACTGGACCCAACATGAAGTTTATAAACTGCACTGTTCCAACATGAAAAGTCCCTCTGGGTGTAGAGGTGTTCAAAAGTTTGTGGAGGAGACTGTACCGCTCACCAACTAAAGAGAGAAGATGCCCTCTCCCCTACTCGTTGCAACTGCCCCCACACTCTGCTTCCAGACAGGGTTTTGTAAAAATTTTCTAAATGTGACATTTTTCATTAATTTTTAAAGAAATAGTTAATGTGAAATATATAAAAAAAAGTCTCTGTCTTTCCATAGTAAGGTGGGTCCCTGGGCATTAGAAATGTAGTGTGTCATGATTATAAGCTCTTGGATTAGCTGAATTTAGGAACACTTGCCACAGAAACCCACATCTTCCCACTAGAACAATGTATCATCTCACAGGAATTAAAGGGTATTCTTTGTCAAGAAAATCTTGCATCCATTCTCTGAACTGGATTTGGACACGTGGATAGCATAAAATAAGATTTGTCTTTGATAACTTGTCAAGAGGAGGGAGAAGACACATTTTACAACACCCTAGGAAGCAGACTTAGCACTTATTTAGGCATTGCTCCATCAAATATTTCATTTGGCGTCATTTATTTTAAAGGAAGACAGACATGGGAGCATGGGGGTGACTTCTACCAGCTGACCAGAAATGTGATCACTGGATAGAAAAGTGTCACATGGGAACTCTTAATGGCCACCCCACGTGGGAATTACAAGCATGACCTCTCCTCTTGTCATTGCTTGAGGCTCTCTCTGAGTCCCTCTCAGGCAACTCTGTTGGGCTCTTGGCCAAGCCAACCTCCCTCTTTAGACAGCCCCTACTCCTTGGCTTGTGTCACTGTGTCTTCTTATGAGAAGCCCTATTTCCCTTTTTCCACCTGGCAAATTCCTCTCCTTCAAGTCATCCATCAAATGGAACTCCCAGGCCACTGACAAAGCCACACCTATCCCTTATGCCCTGAAATATTTTCAAGTACTGCCCAGTGTGTGGGGATCACTGCAGTGTCTTGCTATCCAGCAGCTATGCTGCCTGGAAAACTCAACCTCTCCATGCCTTAATTTCCTCATCTGGAAAGGAAAGAGAGGAATAGGGGTGTCTCATGAAATTGTTGCAATAAACAAATGCATTGTTATCTATAAAGGCAGAGAAAACACCCAATGAACATTCATCATTATCATTTTTATTGTTTTCAGAGTCAAGTACATGATGAAGATTGGATAAATCACAGAAGTGAATCAGTCGATCTCTTTTTACCAAGAAGAGCAAATAGCCTTTAGACTTACTTTTCTACCACTGGCTGCTGCTGGACACTGTTTTATTTCGCAAATAAACTAATGAAAAGTGATAGCTACTGGAAGATCACTGGTAAAACAATCAAGAAAGATCAATAGGCAATTGCCTAAAATATTGGATTTTTTCTGAGTATAAAAATAATGTTTTTTGGTAGAAATTTGTAAAAAGAAACACATACAAAGAAGAGAATTAAAATAATTCCCCGTGTCTCCTGTTGTTTTTATACATATATGAGGTAGCTACTCATAAGAATATGAATGCATAATAATGTAAATATAATCAATAAATATCATATAAATGTAGATGTCAGGTTGTAAATATATATTGATAATTTTTAGTTAACTAATCATGACTAGCAAGAATGTTTATGAATACGTATTTATTTTATGTGTCATTTGTGTTTTTGACTAATTTCATTGACTCCCACTTACATGTCACATATAGGTCATACAAATCATAATTTTTCATGTATTTTCCTTCAGGAAGAAGATTTAGCTGAACAACTGGCACAGGCGAAGCTCTGAATATTCATCTTTGATTTGTTTTTATGGTAACATTTTAGCTCTTTTTTTTTGTGGAACCAGGGCTCGAACTCAGGCCCTTGCACTTGCCAGGGAAGTGCTTATTCCACTGAGCCATCTCCCCAGCCCAACATTTTAGCTCTTTAAAAGAAAACATGAAGCATGGTTCTTTATTTGGATTATAAATTATGGTCTAGGAATTTCCTAAATTCACCACTTGTATGTTACTTTTAAAGCAATAGGATGATGTACTCTGCCACCTGTAGATAAAAAGATCAACTTGATGAACTTCCTGGTCCACAAGCCACTGAGAGTTAAGGACACAAAAGTTTGGTAAGCATCAAGAGTCAGAGAATCCCAACAAAAGTATACACTTAGGTACTCAGATAAATGCCCCTATGAGCTCTCTGTTATGGTTTATATCTAAAATGTTTCCCCAAAGTCTCATGAGCTTTGGTAAGGGATTGGACTGTGGGAGCACTACTTTTACCGTGAAGTAATCAATTGATGAATTCCCAACTCAAAGCATTATTAGATGTTGAGGCCGGGTTGCAAGACAGGAGGTCACTGGGGACATGACCTGAAAGGGGATATTCTTGACCTAGCTCCTCTCCTCTGAGTCCTGACCCTAAGGGCTGAGCAGCTTCCTCTACCAGGCCCTTCTACCATGTGGTTTCTGCCTTGGACCAACCTGTGGTGCACTGCACACTCTGATTCCATGTGCTTCAATCAACCTTTCTCCCAATAAGTCACTGGTGTTAGGTATTTTTATCTCACAGATGGGAAAGAGACAAGTGCATTCCCTGGGGGTTGATGTATTTCAAAATGAGGATCACAACTCATTTGTGGGGGTGCAAAATCAATCTCATGATGTGAAACCAATGTGTTTAAAAAAATAAAATTGATTAATGCTAGTGCTTAAGGTAGTTTTCCAAATTTTTGTTTTAGGGGTGTGTGTGTGTGTGTGTGTGTGAGAGAGAGAGAGAGAGAGAGAGAGAGAGAGAGAGGAGGGAGGGAGGGAGAGAGAGAGAGAGAGAGAGAGAGACAGACAGACAGACAGACAGACAGACAGACAGAGAGACAGAGACAGAGAGATTGACAGACACAGACAGATGGAAAGAAAGAGAATGAGTCTTTCTGTAGCTCCAATCAGATGTGAATTTTCGTCTTAGGTTTTGCTTCACAAGTGTTTCAAATGTGCACACTTTTCCATACTGTCTCAGGGAAAATCCATTCTAAGACACGATAGACTCCAACCTCTTTCAGCCTTCCTTAATAACGATTATACAATAAATCGGAAGCCAAGGCAAATACAGTAATACTGTAACAGCCTTAGTCCTCCAAGCCTATCATGACTCCTGTCCTGCAGATTTTGTCCAAATCTTTTGCACAGGTATTTGAGGATTTTTACAAACTGGTCCTTCTTCAGCTCTGCTTGACTGATATGCTGAGCTTTCTTCACAGTACTTCTGATACCACCTTTTCCAACGCGTCTACTGCCACACTTGCCAGCCCAGTCTTGTTGGCGCTCGGATCTGCAGGGCACTTTGTGGTGCTTCGTGAGAGACGGTGACTATGACTCTTTACCTTGGGTGAGGATAAATTGTGTGAGGAATGCCAAATTAATGTAAAGAGAAGCATAACTGGGTTGAAGACACCAGCCGTGAGAATGACCTGCTTTTGGCCAAGCATATGTCACTAGTAAGATTCTTGTCTTTGTCCCATCCTTGAGGACCTTCTACAGGGTGGCAGGAAGTGGGAAGGTGCTTTAATACCAGACAACCCACATTCCTTGTGGTCTACGTTTTATTAGACAGTGCTTGCTTACAACATCCCGAATTTCATCCTATGAAGTCTGCAACAAGACAGCTACGAGATTTGTGTTACTTCCCTCACATATATAAGTAGTTTTCAGTAAAAATTAGCGCATGACTAATTTTTTTCCTTTACTATTTAGAAGCCACCCTTATGGAAAACTATTCAGAAAACATGAGACAAATTTTTGCTTAAGAATTAGTTTTAAAGTTAAAAGGAAAAGAGGAAGTTTTGTTTTTTCCTTTGAACATAGCTGAAAATTGAGGGTTTTCTTCAATAATTTGAGCACATCGGGTTGTCTGTTACTAAAAAGGAAAAAGTCAGGTGAAATCTGCAGCCCCAGGAATCATTCAGCAGTGGAATCTGTGCGATTCTACAAGAAGTGGTTTTGTGGGCTTCAACTTTTGAGGGTAAAACAAACACAAATGCTCTGCCTCTGAGGCGAGGGGGCGGTGCCCCAGCGAAGCACCAATCACAGCGCGCCCTACCCTATATAAAGCCCTGCAGGCCCCCCCCCCCCAGAAATTACGCTTGATGTTGGTCAGTTCATCTTCATCTTTTTGTTTGGTATGCCAGAAACATTGCCTACTGTTCCAACTGCTCCTGCTCCAATCCCTATGGGAAAACAACCCGCCAGAAGACGAGGCAAGAAGGGGGTTTGGGAGTCAAGTGAAAACCGGAAGGCACAGAACACCTCCTTGTCCAAATTGATCACCCAGGCCCTGTTTGAGTCACAAGACCAAATAGGCATGTCCCTTGCCGCACTTAAGAAATCCCTGGCTGCCACCGGCTATAACGTGAAGAAGAATAACAGCCGCGTCAAACAGGCACTCAAGAATTTAGTGAGCAAGGGAGTTCTGGTGCAAATCCGAGGGACTGGTGCCTCTGGGTCCTTTAGGCTCAGCAAGAAAGCTGCTCCTGAAACCAAGGACAAGGTTAAAAGCCCTGCTTCTGCCAAGAACAAGAAGCTGGGCTTGCCTAGGGACTCCAGGACCCCAAAAAGCACCAAGACCAAGAGGAGGGCTAAGCAGTCAAGGGTTGCACACAGGGAAGCGTCAGGCAGCAGGAAGAAGACCCAAAAGTCCAAGAACCTACAGCAGCGTAAGACCCCGGCCAAGGCCAGAGTGGGGAAGGCTAAGGCTAGGTCAGCAAAGTCTACCCTGCAGAAAGGAAACTCCAGGAAGGCAGCGTCTAAGAAGTGAGCACCTTGAAGACCAGTTCACACAACCCAAAGGCTCTTTTAAGAGCCACCCAAATAACTTTGAAAATGACTTTAACACTGAAAATTTGCCCAAGTTCTTGAGTGTTTAACCTAACAATGCTAACAAATTGAGGTCCGATGAGGGGAAATAACATCTAAATTTACAGATATAAAAATACTGAAGTTCTGGGGTGATACCCATTCAGTAGGGTGTTTATGCATGCAAGAAATTTCAGGGTAGGGATTGTCATTTATATTCAGTATTTTTTCTAGCAAAGTGACTGGAAATGGGAGTACAAGTTGTTCAGTATCAAAATGTTTTCCTTTTTTTTTTTTTAAGTACGGATACAACTGAGCATGGTGGTGCCTGTCTGTAATCCCAGCACTTGGGAGGCTGAAAACAAGAGGATCACTAAGAGTCCAATCTGTGTAGTGAGACCCTGTAGACCCTGTACTATAGGTTCCCAATTTATTCTTTAGTGTCATCTAATTGAGTACCTTGGTGTTCATTGACTTTTGTGGGATCTGTATGTAAATATGAATCAAGGTGCCCTAGGGTTTGTCCTTTAGGAAATTTACCTTTTAAAAATTTCATTAGTTTCCAGCTGAAAATTTACTATTTTGTGAGTGTGACAAAACTTTCAGTGTGAAGTTACAGGCATCTTGGAATAGTATATGTAGTAGTGATGGTGAACCTTTTAGAACTTTCAATGATACACAGCCAACTGCCACCAGTGGCATATACTAATTTGGTATTTAAATAGATGCAGATGTTTATTTATGTACTTATTTTTTCAATCCCCGTGGCACTGGGGATTGAACTCAGGCCCTTGCACTTGTCAGGCAAGCGCTTATTCTACTGAGCTATCTCCAGGCCCTATTTTTGTCTTTTTGAGACAGGATCTTGTTATGCAGTTCAGACTGGCCTTGAGTGTAGTAGCCCAGGCTGGCCTCAGACTTTGCGGGTATTCTCTCGTCTTGCTTCAGGCTCTCAAGTGCTGGAATTATATGCATACACTGCCATGATGTACCTACTGACCTGATAGGATTGTAACCCTTAGCAGATCATGTATCTTATTATAAAAAGAATATATAGCTTCATGATACTGCAAGGTACTCCCCGGGTTGAAAAACTGAACCTATTGTCTCTATGGAAATGTTTGTGGTTGTGTAGTTAGGAGCTGATTTTCACTTTTCTAAGGTGCAAAAATTTTATTGCAAACTCGAATGCAACTTTCTGAAATAACTATACAATTTTTTCTTTAATCTGTGATTATGCATTCCTTAATCACACATAACAAATCTAGTTATTCTATTTCCAACTGTTTTTTGGGCAACTATCAGGAAAGGTGAAACCATGCATTTCGTACATTATCCGATATTCTGAGCATGTTCTCTATGTGATTCAATGTTCTTTCCTCTCTAGACTTGTATAAACAGGATTTTTTTTATAAAGTTAAATTGTGTACTAATATAGAAAATAACTATAATCATAATGGTTTCCATTTGTACAATAGCCTCCAGCTCTTGCCTTGTTTAGTTATGATGGTCGCTGTCTTTATGAGAACTGAGCGTGGTGCAATTATGTATGGAGTCACTGCCCCGCATAAATTAGGCCTGTATGAGCAGAGCATCACTTGGTGTCCCCACCCAGGATGAAGATGACCTGCTGCCCGTAACAGCCAGCAGTTCCTTCTTGAACTAGCGGGTCCTTTACACGTAACCACGCACCTTTGAGCCTTTGGCTTTCCAGCGCCTGAAGCAGCTCCCATTAAAGCTCCCATTTCCTCTGAGTGTGCCCATTAACCTTTTTTTTGGACTATAGGATAGCAGTTGTGGAAATATCCTATTCCCTGTAAAACGTTCTGCTTTTGAACGCTTTCATGGAATTCATTTGGGGTTGTCTCACCGGAGCTGCTGGTGAGCTTTGAGCACAGGACGTCTCCGGCTGCAGCCAATCCACAGATGCGTTCTAGCAAAGCGCCAAAAAGAAAAAAAAAAAAAAAAAAACCACGCCGGAAGTACACATTTTGCGGTAAATACTTCCCTGGAGTAAGCGACTTCTCGCGTTAGTTTGGAAGTGATTTTCGTCACCCTTTTCATAAAATGAACTGCAAACTAGCTTAAGTCACGGGAGGAAACAGCTCTTTATGCGACTTTTTGGGTGGCCCTGAAAAGGGCCTTTTTTGGGGGTTACGTTTTTAAGTAATGATATTAGCCACCAAAGCCATACAGCGTGCGCCCCTGGCGCTTGAGCGCATAGACCACGTCCATGGCGGTGACCGTCTTGCGCTTGGCGTGCTCCGTGTAGGTGACGGCGTCGCGGATGACGTTCTCCAGGAAGACCTTGAGCACCCCGCGCGTCTCCTCGTAGATGAGTCCGGAGATGCGCTTGACGCCGCCGCGCCGGGCCAGGCGGCGGATGGCGGGCTTGGTGATGCCCTGGATGTTGTCGCGCAGCACCTTGCGGTGACGCTTGGCGCCACCCTTACCAAGACCCTTACCTCCCTTACCCCGGCCAGACATGATTCTAACTACAGGCCGAGCAACAAACTGGAGCTCTTAAATAGTAGCTCTGCGGACCTCATTGAAAACCACAGCGCGGGTAGGATTTTTTTTTTTCCCCCCAAATTAGTTCACCGAGGGGATGGGCGTAGGGCAAAGGGTTAGTAAAATTTCAATGTTCTGATTGGCCAGTGAAACCTTGCCATTCAGTGGGCGGGATAGAAAGAGGAGTACAGATGTCATTGGCCTGAAAAGCTCTTTCCCTTGTACTACATCGTTGTGTCTACGCATTTGCCACTTAAAAGAGTATTTTCGCAGGTCGGTCACCATAAGCAAAGATCGCCGTTTCACGTTTCAGTTTTTAAAATTCCCACTAATTGGGGAATGATTCCGTGGAATGAAGTCCACGTTAAGTCTAAAATAAGTAGATTAATATAGCAAGGGCCGTTTCCTCTGAATACTTTTCATTTTTCTGTTCACACTAACACATTCCGACAGCCTTGTCCTGGACAGAGTTCAAACCTGGCCCTGATATAGCTCTGCCCCATATATTCTATTTTGGGGAACAGGAAAAGTAAAAAAAAAAAAAAAAAAAAAAAAAATTAAAACCTTATAAGTTTAAATTCATCCCCCCCCCCCCCGCCCATGGATTCAAACATTTATTACTTACCTCCCTTTCCTGTAAATGTAAGAGAGGCAGGAAACCTCTAGGCTAGGCTAGAGTAATCAGTTGGCCCTATTTCAGGCCTGTTTGATTTGCCTGCAGTTCCAAACACACTTCTCTTTCTTCTTTTATTAATCCCTTTTCAACCTGCTCCAGTTTTAGAGACAAGAACATACGTTTTGTGGGAGTGGGAATTAATTGCATAGGGCTAATACTCGATTAAGGTCATTACAAAGCCTACAAGGCCCTCCCTTTAAAGTCCTTTGATAAGATTAGTGATGTTAAAATAAGGGTAAACCTATTTTTTAACAAGTTAGAATAGCAGAATTTGGTCTGTATATGTTTTGAAAAGACTTCAACAAATTTTCTCCTTAGATTCCTGCTGTACCTTTTGGAATTTTTCCTGGGAAGAATAATTTTGTCTAAAAAACCCAAAATCCTTGTTAGTAAACAAACGCTTATTTTGGGTACATAAGATTTAGATTATGGCCTGTGAGAACATATGACAGCCTCAGCTGTGCTCACCTCACATGTAAACCAAGGCAGGCAAGGAGAAGAGACCTAGGGCAGGATATTTATATGCCATGCTTTGTTAGATTGGTAAAATAAGTGGTTATACTCTGCACTTAAATTGAAAAAGTTTAGTTTCCTGGTTATCAACTCACCAGAAACACACACCTTAAAGTAAGAAATTTACCTAGTAAGAAAGGCAAACGCTACTGAGAAAAAGTACGAACTTACTGGCAGGACTGAAATCTCAATATGCTTTTAAATTCATAAAATGAAAATTAGTGTGTACAACAAAGTAATTTGGGGAAAAAATTAATGGTGAGCAATACCCTTAAATATATCCCAGGAAATACTATTTTCAGTACAACTGCACATTTAGGTTGCCTTTTCTCCCAAATTAATTTGGCTTATTACAACATTTTAAAAAATGACTTTTGACATTTTACGTATTATTTTTTTCTATTCTCTACTTCTAATATCTCTCTTTCAACTTTTTGCAACAACAATGTTTCAAAAATAATGAATGTGTAGACTTTGTGTGCTGCTGCAATATGCAGTTCCAGCCAGCTGAAGGCTGAGGCAGGAGGATTACAATTGCTAGGTCAGCCTGCACAATTAAGCAACGCTATGTCTTAAAATAAAAAATAAAAAGGGCTGGGAATATAACTTAGTGGTGGAATACCTGCCTATATGTGATGCCCTTGGGTCAATGCTCAGGGCTCAAAAAAAATTAAAAAATATGTATAAGCAGAAATATACAGTACTTGAACTTTTCACTGTTGGAAGAATATAGATATTGTGTGGCTTGGGAGAGGGGTAAGTCACCCCTCATTCTATGTGGCTGTATTTTTCTTGTCACCTTCCTCTCATCCTCCGGGTAAGCCTAACATGCCAGAATATCATTCATTTGACCTGTGAATTAGGTCCTTCAGATGGAAGCTCTACAGTGTGGCTAGTAGGGCTCATGGAGCATATAGGAAATTGACACTATATTAATCGGAGGTATAAAAAAAGAAAGTAAGAACTGTCCAGAATGTACTCCAGGCCAATTCTATCAGAATATTAGAGTTCTGAAATAGCATATATGTATTTTTTTTTCTTCAAATAATTCTGAATCAAAGGCAGCCCTGCATACACTATGACTTTTAACTATGATTGTCCTGGAGTAAAAAATCCTAGGACAGAAACACTTCTGACACGCTGCCGCTGCACTTGCCAGAGTGCTTAGGCTGGGCCCGCTGGCGCTGCATGGCAGTCCTTTCTGGACACCGGCCCTTGTCTAGTAGAAAGTTCTTGAAGCCACTCTCAGGCTGATCTCTCTCTACTCAGGTTTCACAGCATTTCTTTCAGCTATCCCGCTCACTATGAAGACCCGTTCTATTTTGTTCCTTCTCAGAAGTCACTGTCATTGCTACCGGCAGGACTTTGGTTCCATAAGCTGTCTCTCCATTTCCTTCCCTTCGTCTTCTAAGAAAGTGCTTTCCCCTTTCAGTTGAAAATCTTTCACTGCAATTTTTCTCCCCGTACTCCTTGGCCGAGGTCCTGTGTGAGTGCTCTCCCGTAACACCCTTACTATACTTTGATCTGTTTTTTAAAAAGTGATCCATACAGAGAATTTCTAACATTATCTTTTCTTAAATATTTGTTTCAAAAGTTTTATAAACATAGTAGTAATTAGCTTAGTTTGTTTTTCCTTCAAAATTCCCTTGAATACTTTCTGGATGACACACAGAAAGCAAACTGCTTTTTCCTTGCTTTAATGATGAAATTGTCAGCTTAAGTTTAGACAGAAAGAAGTTCATTAACCACTTGTATTTAAAACACATGTTCTTGATATAGGGGACTGAAACTACCAACCTGAAAGATATCTGGGTTGAGTTTGTGTTCTCTAAAACTGAAGAATAAATTTTAGGAACAGTGGAGGCTAAGAGCAGAATATATTTACTGGGAGAAAGAAAGGTCCTGTCCAAAAGGACGGAAGGGGGACTCTAGCAGGTTACCCTGGCATCTGTGTCTTCCAGGGACTTTTATAGTGTAAAACCATGAGATGAGGTGGGTCTGAGATTACAAGCACCATTATTCAGGTACAATTGATTAAATCTAGGACCAAATGGGAAAGCGAGTCACTTAGCAAGCAAGTGGGCATGAATATAGAGCAGGAGCTTTTGCTGGGTTAGTGACTTCCAGGCGTCCTTAAGGTAAGAGACTCATTTAGAATATCAGTCCTGGATGCCTATCTGTAGGGAAGGATGTGGCTGCATTTGTTTAATCTTTTGTCTTGCAGTCTGGCCCACAGCAAGGGGTCCCTCTCCCAAAGTTGCAAGGTTATCTAGTCTTTTATATTGTCTCCTTGAGGGCCTAGCCCTGCCTGCCTGCCTATAATATTTTTATCTAGCTCAGTTGCCTGCAACATTCTCTCACACACGCACCACGATCTTTGAGTAGCTGAAGTTCGTTATTCACTGGAATAAATATAGGATATTTAACCAATCTTCGAAATTAAAATGACATTACTTATACTCAAGCTTATATAAATATCGGTACTTACCTCCTAAAGTGACTCTGAAATTCTTTGCAGACTTTTAAGGCCTAGTTTTCTAAAACTACTAACAATACTTCCTATCCAAATCTCGTGGATAAAATATTGTTTAGGCTCTTTAAAATCCCCCATGCCAGATTTCTCCCTGAGTGATAACAATAATTAATAAAGGCGTGAATATAGTAGTTAGAAATTTATATATGTTTAGAAAAATATCTTTAAAATATAAATAGCTGAAAATATTTCAAGATACCTCTGATAAAATAATAATACAGTAAATTCTGAAATATTAAAAGAGATTCCCAAGTCACTGCAGAACACATCGGAGCTGCTGCTACCAGGGACCAAAACTTGGTTAAACGTTATCTGAATAATTCAAATATCATCCCAAGAAGTTAGCAACACTGTGGGTTTTTTGCCTGAGGAATAAATACTGTGTTGCAGTTGTGTACTCTATTCTGAGCCAGAACGTTTGAATTAAAATTCCAGCACAACCATGTTCTGTGTAAACTTCAGCAAGTTCACCTGTCTAATGTATTTAATTTCCCAACTCAAAGATTACAGTAGTTTATTCTTCAGAGAAGTCTTCAGAGGAGTTAAACTTCAGAACAAGACCTAGCAATAGTAAGTATAATAATTAGCTAAACATCAATTTTAGAAAACATTCATGCCGTGGAAAACTTTGCTGAGAATGCAAATCCATCTAGCCAAATAAATACATAAATAAATAAATGTACCTACCCCAAACACACTGTTGTAAGTAACTGAGTTAGAAATATTACAGACAGTCAGACAGGGCTAGGTCCTTGAAGGAGCCAGGATGGAAGACAAGATACCTTGCAACTGTGGGAGAGACAGATACCTCCACTGTGGGTCAGACCTTCAGACAAAAGATCAAAGAAATGCACCCACCCACATACCTCCCTAGGGGTAGACATCAGGGATTGATATTCTAAATAGGAATCAATCACCTTGAAAAAGCCAGAAAGAGTCACTAACCCAACCCCCTGCAGGAAAAGCCCTGTTCTGTATTCACGTCCACTTGCTGTGTGACCTGCTTCCCATTTGATCTCAATTTGATCAATTTTACCTGAGCAATTATGTTTGCAATCTTATTGGTTGACCATAGTTTTGTGCCACCTCATGCCTATCATGTGACTTTCCATTTTCCCTCCCACCTTAAACCCACCTCACCTTGTGGTTTTGCTCTATAAAACCCCTAGAAAGGCAGGTTCCTTGGCAACCCACTTGGGTCCCCTTCTGTTCCTTTCTCAGATAGTAGCTCTCTTTCCTTAAATAAGTATATCTCTGCTCTTAATCTCCGTTGTCTCTAAAATTCATTCTTTGACTTTGGAAAACACAAACTCATCCCAGATATCTTTCAGTTTGGGATTTCCATGTCTTCAACACCTACTATGAAGCAGAATGCCTGAACTATCAGAATGCCCAATAAAATGTAAATGTATGTAGCATTTCATAGCAGGCCAGGCTTTTTAATAAAATCATCACTATACTTTAATATTGCATTAATGTTCTACACATTAGAAAATGAGTTATTTACCAAAGCAAAAAGGGAGAACAATTATGACCAAATTCTACATAGAGAATGGAAATTACAAACTCCAGCCCACACAGGAATGATTAAAGTTACGAATTAGGTTACTAATCATTGCTAAATCAGAGTGTAGTTAGAAAAAGAATGGTAGATTAAAGCTGATAATTTTATGAGAAATCTTGGCATTTATGAAAAGTGTTTTGCTTCCAAATGTGCATATATCCCCAAAGAATGGTTTATAATGTATAAGGTGGACACACAGCTTGGTCAAGTTTGCATTACCACAGCACAGGAGACCTCTAGTTTATCCTTCACAGCAGGCCTCAATCAGCCACTGCACTCGACTCAGAGATTACCAGGTTGTTTGTGTCCCTTCATTGTTACCAGTTCAGGAGCTCAGCACCGGCCAGGGATCGCAATCATTCAAAGAGCTGGTAAATGCCTTGCTTCTTTGGTCTTCAGGAACTCTACAAGGGGTGTCACTTCTACCGGCTAGTGGGTGCAACCATTTACTCGCTGGAAAAGCCCAGACCAGCTGTTCAGGGTCCTGACCACTGAGGTGCATCCTACCAAAGCCACCAGGGGGCACCCTCGCCCTTCCAGCCACCCTGCCAGAAGTGAGGCGATACAGTAAGGGATTGAAAATGTCAGCTTTTGACTTTTGAAATGTGGTTGATTTTAAAAATTTATAAAGCCAGAAATAACAAGAAGTGAGTTTCATTATTATGTTATTAATTTATTATTTCTATGGCATAAAAAATTGACTAAAATCACTTATGGTGAAGACTGGTGTTTCTCGCTATCTCAGCCTGTGTGTAATAAAACCAAACCAAAGTGGAACTCATGACGTAGAAGAATAAGAGTACGAGGAAGACAAGACCTTTGTCACCCTGCTTTGAATATACACTGATATTTACAGAGAAAGTACTCGTCAGTGTGCTGCTAGCTTGACTTGGCGCTAAGACAGTGCATTACAACTTCAGTATTACTGTCCCTACAGTGAAGAGAAACAATTCAGTTAACACATTTTAATGAAGACATTCCATGAAACAAAATGTAAGACAAAGTTATGAGCACTATCAGTGTACCCAAATGACATTATAAGTATGTGCGTAAGAGGGAGAAGAATATTGGTAAAATCATGCAGTAAAAAGCATACATTTATTAAAATATGTTAATTTTATACATTTTAACACAGTACTATGGTTCTAAGAAATATTATGGAAGTTGTTAATAGGGTATAAAAACTAATGAAATTATAGCTTTAGTGTTACTCATTTTTCAGCTTTCCCACAAGTGCAAATCATTTTTACATTTTTGTATGTAACTTTCATAAACAGAAGAAGTTTTTAGAAGTTGAGATTTATACTGGGATTTGAAACCTTTGGAGCTGCATTTGGTCCCTTGAGCCAGTTCCCTGCCCCCAACATAACGCTTGTGCCACAGTTGTGTGGCCAATATATGCAGCACATAAAGTAAGCATGTGTCGTATGGCTGGATATCCATGTATGTTATTTTTATGGTTGTATTTGGATAAAGGCCTTTCCCAGAGTTCAGCTATTTCCAAATGGCTTGGTTCAAATTATTTCAAATGTCTGCAGCTAGAAAACATAGTCAAAACCCCAAGCCTCCCCAAGAAGATTCCTTGACATCTTCTTAGGTACAGTTGGTCAGAGGAATCAGTAGGATTCTGACCCCACAGACACTGGCCAGGGAAGGACAATGTGAGGTCCAGCATACTCATGGATTAAACCCCACTGACCCCAGTCCTCAGGGCTGGGGACAGCACGATGGAGGATCTAGGGAGTCTGTCCAGCCTATTTGGTTAAGAAAACGGTAGCTGAGGCCAATAGATTGCATGGTGCTGGTTCTCTTCATCTGGATCAAGTTCACGGAGAAGAGCTGTCTCCTCCTCTTCCACCTACCCCCCTTCTGTACATTGGGATGTTACAGGACTAGCATAAACCACACACTGCTGAATGGCTGAGTAGGAGGCTACCTGGCCTGGGAAAGCCATGAAATTCTCTATACTCCTCTTTCTTCATCTAGACCAGTGATGGCGACCCTTTTAGAGCTTTCAATGATAACAGCTGGCTGCAGTGTGTCTTCCATAGGTTCGCCACTATGAAGGGGGCAGAAGATTAAATACTTACCTCATAAAATATTAGAACAATTGCAGGCAGTAATTCCTCTAAGCAGCTTGCATGACAGAATATGATAGTACATGCTTTTTAAAAATAAGTGTCAGCCACAGTATCATTATTGTATTTATCCTCTCCATGATTTTCATTATAGGACAGTAGCAATGGTACTTAAGGTCCAGCATGCTGGGGTGGGACCAAAACTGCGGTGTCACTAATCTTTGAAAACTTTTACATTGCCTTTGAATAAACTGGAACATCCCCTTTAAGATACTTCCTTTCTCTCTGCTGTGAAACCAACAAAGCACACAAAACATCCACTTTTTTTTTTTTTTTTTTTTCCAGGAAAAGTGCCGCTTTAGATGGAGCAGTGTGCAGCCCTCACAGCTAGGCAGTGACCCAGATCCTGCTGTGAAGGAAGGGAAGCCAGGGCTTGGCGACAGCGAATTACTGAAGAGCAGAGAAAGGGGCCTCACAAGAAAAAGTTGAGTGGATCCTGGATGCCAGGATACATGTACAAAATTCTAATAGGAGTACAAGTGTCCATGTCCCTGGGTAAAGTTTTTCTCAGATCTTAAAAATAAACATGAGCTTCCCAAGTTTAAAAAACCTTCCAGAAGTTGGAGACGAGATAGTTTAGGTAGGTGTACAGGATCTGAGGTGATGGAGAAAAAAATGAAGGGAGCTTCAGGATACAGTTTGAGATTTGTGCAAACAAGTTCTAGAAGAAAAGTCAATACTGGAGGTCATGGAGATGTAGCAACTCAGAGAGTTAATGATGAAGATGTTTTAAGAATGTGAACAGGGAAACCCTAAAAGCAAAGAGTTATTTGGGCAATTTCTAGTGGTTAAGTCCTCCTGTCCTAAACTGTGGAGAACTCCACCAGGATGTTCTCTCTTTGAATCTCCAGTTGTGTCTTCTCCACAGGACAGGTGTGCAGGCAGTGAGTCATTCACATCTGGCTAAGACATAGTCCTGAATGGCTCTCCCTGGGAAGACAAGAGATGCAGGGAGAAGTGTCACAGGCTTTGGCAACATCTGACCTCTATCCTGTCTCTCCTCTTTTATCCATCTCAACTTGAGCAGCTCTTTTCTATTCCTTGATTTCAGGTCTGGTGCTCTGTCTTCTAAGTCGTTCGTTTGCTTTCTGCCTGACCTTGCTGCCCGTCTCACTCCCTAACAGTCCCTTTACCACCTCAGGGAGACTATATCTCTCCTTAGCTGCTACCCAGTATCATAACATCACATCCCAGTGGGATGATTAGCTGGCTTCTGTTCCCTCTCTTTTGCCCATGCCACAGATGTTCAGAGCCTAAATTTGAAGAACTGGTGGCCAGCAGGGGCACCGAGGTGCATCAGCTATCGCTTCCTGTGTACTTCACAGTTCCCTACTCACATGCCTGTTCTACCTTGCAGATCTTTCCTTGTCCTAAGCCTCTTGTAAGAATATGTCACTTCTTCAAAATTCAGAAGGCTTCTTGGTCCCCAGTTCCTTCCTCTGACACCTATGGCACTTGCAGCACTTGCTCGGCCTCTGCCCTGGGGCCTCAGCAGTCTTCACCTGTGCTAAGGTGTTGTGTGTGTGTCATCCGCTCCTGTATTTGGGTTCTGAGAATGTCCACAACAACTTCCTCAGCCTCAGCGAGACTCTATGACTTTCATAGCACTTCTAATATCAGGTGCTCAAAAGGTGCTTGTTGGATTAAATTTAATTCAGGGAGGGGGAACCCACATTGTTTCCTTTTCTGCTTTCAGGGGTGCTGGGCTCCCAAAAGAAGGGAAGAAAGGAGAAATCTTCTCATGGACAGGGCTTTCCCTCTGCTCCATTTTCTACAAGAAGACAAGTTGCGTTCTGGACACAGCCATTATAACTCTTTCTCCTTGTTCCTACTCACTTGAAGCCTGCCTCTTCCTGAAGGTTTGGAACAAAATTCCAATAAAGACGATGATGACACAGACAGTGATGCCAGTGCTGACTCCAGTGACCAGGGCAGTGGATGGCGAAGGCTCTAAAACAGCAAGAGCACTGTCAAGCTCATGACTGCTCCCCCAAAGAAGACCCTCCCCTCCCTTCCATGGTAAGCACCCTTGCACCCCAACAACAGACTTTCTCAGCCCGTGGCTCTCATCCTTACCCCAGGTGGCTGTGAGGGGCTGGTCCAGGCCTGGGTGCTCTACGAGGCAGCTGTATCTCTGCTCCTCCCCAACGGGCACAGCCAAGGCCGCCCAGCCCTGGTAGGTCCCATCCCCATTGGGCAACACATTCTTCTGCCCACCCTCTGTGGCCTCCAGTGGCTGCCTGTCCTTCAGCCATCTCATGATGATGTTCTGGGGATAGAAGCTCAGAGCCTGACACCGTAGAGTGCTCACTGAAGAGGCCACATGGTGTGTCACCGTCACCAAAGGAGGTACTTAACAGGAAAGAGGAAGGATGAGGAGAGGAGATCTTTTTATCCTTGCCAAGAAGATTGCATCTTTCACTTCTCTCCGTGGGTTGGAGGAAAGACCCATCCTTTGCAGACAGATGGGGCTTCAAGAGAGACACCACAGACACTATTTTGTGTCCTAGGACTGGATCCAAGGTCTAACTCTACTGAAGCACTATATAGAGAACAACCACACACGACTGTCTGCTCTCTTGCCTAATATGTAAATATATACACATACTTTCAATTCCACCAGGCTCAAGCCTTTTAAGTATTCTTTTGAGAAAGGCTCTCAGAAGATAGCAGGCCTTAGTGATTGTTGCTATGTTTTATAATAACTTTAACCTGCAAAGATTCTGCTGTTCTGTGTCACACTGGCTATTTTCTTGCCTTGGTATTCATGTGATAGTTGATATTTTAAAATTTCTAAAAGATATAAATATATACACAGGGTTCTTGACTAGGCCCGAAGAAGATCATAGATACTTCCTCCTCGGCCATATGGACGGGGAAAAATAATGAAAACCATGACTCATGGATGTACTATACATCACAATCACCAGGTAGGCACACTAGGATCGGGAAAGTCCTTTGAGAGACTACATCACCTTGGCCACCTCTGAATTCTCAGCCAAGAACCCCATGCCTCTCATCCCTCCATTGCCTCACTAGAGTGTGGGGACAGGAAAGTGCTGCCCACATACCTGGCTGGTCCAGAACCCCTTTCTTCAGCTCCAAGAACCTTTGCAGCTGCTCCGGGCAGTCCCTCTCGAGGTAGGCTTTGTTCTGCTTATCCCGAATCTTGTGCCCTTCCCACTCCAGCTTGGTGGCATGAGCTGCAGGGTCTGCTGCTCTCCAATCCAGTGTCTCAGGGCGGAAGTCAAGGTGGTCCCGCCCATCATACCCATACTTCCAGAAACCCCTGGTGCTGTTGTCCTCCTGCACCTCGCAGCCCAGGATCACCTGCAGGGTGTGGGACTCTGGCAACACATCTGCTCATTACTGAAGCCAAGGGAATAGGATCCTTTCCCCACCATCCCTAAAGTCAGAATGATGCCAAGAAGAACAATTCTCCCCTCTTCCTTTCCCTGGACCTTAAGCTCCCAGCTCTCCCTCACAAGTATCCCTAGGCAGTGAGATGCTCCAACACCTCAGGAGAGGTGAGCCCTTTGTACTCACCCTTGCTGTGGTTGTGGTTGTCCATGATAGTCCAGAAGTCCACAGTAAACATATGCTCCCACCCTTTTAAGCTCTGACTGAGCTGGAGCCACAGCCTGCTTGAGGTCCTGGCACCAATCCACTGCGCTCGGGGCTCAGCACGGCGACTCTCGTGATTGTAGTACACAAACAGCTGGTCATCCATGTAGCCCAGTGCCTCAAAAAAGGGCAGCCCACGCTCAGGCTCTGAGGCACACATAAAGAGGTAGTACAGAGTGTGGTAGCCTGGAGAAAGAGCAAGAGGCCTTCAGCACGGGCACCACAGGGCCCACTGTGAGTCCACACACCTGAAACAGCCCACATCACCAGCGGGGGCTGCATGTCACCCTATGGAGAGTGGAACAGTCACGCATCTTTCTGCATGACAACCTGGATGTGTTTCCTGCTTGCCTTCCCTGCCACAGGTAGCTGCCATCCATTAGTTGTCCTCTGTCTCATTACTCATGACCAGGCAATTTCTCCTGAAGCCAACAGACTAGAGAATTCCAAGGCATCTTCAGCCATGGTGGGTGAGCTCTGTAGGTGAAGTTCACAGCTATTAGATCCAGTCCTAAGAAACTTCCACCTCTAAACACTTTTCTGTGACAATATTGGCTACAAGATTTGATGATACACAGCTTAGGACAGATTTCTAGCCACCCAGAAGGAGCTCCCAAAGATGAGAGGACAGGACCTCTAGGCTGGTGAGTCCTTATACCTTCCTTCTGACAAAATGAGGGGGCTGAGGGATGCACCCCAGTGCCTATGGTGTCACCTGGCATATGGTAGGCACATAAATGCTTGTTGGATGAAAAAATAATGACTCTTAGATATTTTTCCTGGCCTTGAACTCTAGACTCTTAACTGCTTTGGCAACACCTATTAGATAGCTGAGTGAAATCTCAAATATATATCCCAAGCTGGGCTCTCAATTTCTCCAAAACTCTTTTCCTTTGCCTATACCATTTTAGCAATGTCATCACAAATCACCCCATTATGAGCCTGATAAAAATAAAGAACATTGTCACTTCTGAATTTTCTCTTTCATATCATACATGAATCTTCCAGCAATTTCCTTTAAAACAACAACAACAACATGCGAATCCAAGTGTTCCTTATTTCCCGCCCCCAGCCACAACTCTGCCTGCTCCATCACTTCTGGCCTGGACTAGTGCAGGGACTTCCTGGCTGGTCTCTCAGCCTCACTGTTCTGTTTTGCTTTCACAGAGCAGCCAGAGGGGGCTTTTCAAAATCTGTGACAGGCCCTGTCTCTCCTCTGGGAACCCCACGCTAGGACCTGCGGCCTTGCCCCCGGGGGCCTCTGCTCCACCCACTTCGCTGGCGCTAGCTGTATTTCGTGCGCTTCCTTCAACCTAGCCGTTCCTTTTCGTTTTCACCTCCCTCCTTCCTTTAATCTCCTCTTCCTTCCTGCAACACCAAAGACTGAACCCAGAGCCTTATACTGAGCTCCACTCCAAACCCTATTTTTTATTTTGACAGGAATTCTCGTTAAGTTGCCCTGTCTGATGTTCTCCAGATTTAGGGAAAAGCACATTTATTGCAATCGGTGAATCAGGAAGGCCCAAGATAGGCTTCTCTGAGGCGCCTCCAACCGGCCCCACCAGGAAGGAGGAGGGGTAGTGGCAGAATCAGGGTCCCACAGTAGGGCCCCTAGCCGGTGCCCTGAGCCTGCTCGGCTGCTTTCTGCCTGTTGCCCGGCGACAACTCGGTGCGGGGACACGGAGGGGCGCTCCAGTTTAGGACGCTCTGGGAGGGAACTTCCTGTTTGCTGTTGACTGTGGGAAACCACTCAGGCTGCGTTAGAAAACAGTGAAACCGAGACTCGAGTTCCTGGACTCCAGGCTCAGCTCCTAACTGAGAAGCCAGGAGGTCTATTTACGCGCGAGGGGAGCGTCGCAGTAGCAGAGGGGTTGGTGGATCCCAAGGCAACTCCCAGGACTAGGGGCGCCCGAGCGGGGAGGGGGTGGGGGGGTGGGGGATGGGAGTGGGGGGATTGAAGGGTGGGGGAGATGGGCAAGCATGGGGTCTGGGAGCAGGACCTACAGCTGGAGACGCGCCTGCAGCTGGCAGCTGGCTGCTGGGACACAGATCCCGTTCTGTGTGTGGACCGCACGCCACCCCCACACTGGCTCCTGCACCCAGCGCCCGCACTCTCCGGGGGCAGGGTTCACGCCCCGCCCGCAGTGCCCGTTCCCGGACTCACGCGGCTGTCGCCCCTGCGGGGCCGCGGACCCCACGAGAAGCAGCAGCAGCAGCAGCGCGCGTCGGGCCCAGGCGCCCATCGTCCGGGCCAGGCCTGCGGGTGAGGTCCGGGAGGCCAGTGACCCAAGAAGTCACCCGGGAGCTGAGGCCGAGGACCCGGGATGCCTGCTGAAACTTCCTGATGAGCGTGATCCTTTTCCGGGCCTTTGAGGAACAGAAACCAGTGTCCAGAACCGAACTTTCCCCTGCAGGCCGGGGTGCCAGCTGGTGACGCCCTTGGAGCCCCTACAGTGGTCGCCCAGCCGGGAATCGGGATAGAGGTGAGGGGTGGGGATATTATTTCCTGAGAAAAGCTTTTCTCACAGTTTTCTGATGGGTGCAGTCAGTAGTTAAAGATTACATTAAAACTTCAATGATATGTTTTCAAAACTTTTTTTTTCCTAATCTGACTTGTTGATCGTGTTGATTTAGAATTAAAAGGGTTTTTGGTTAACATTTTGATTTTGTTCCTAGACTGAAAGGAGTGAGGTATGTACATCAGATTTTACTGAAACATCTTTTGCAATTTCCATAACTAAATTACCCGAGGACTGTGTGGCAAACTTTCCAGCACACTGGGAATAGCTGGAAAATAGTGAGGTACGTAGGCCCTGCTCCTGCCTGTGGCACTCTGATTTAATTGGTGTGGTGTCAACCTGAGCACTGGGATTTTATTTACTTATTTCTTTTTCGACTTTTTAAGATAGGGTCTCACAGTGTAGCCTAAGATGGCCTCTAACTTCCCTCAACTTGCTGCCTCAGTCCGCCCAAATGCTGGGATTACAAGCTTGTGCCAGCACTGGCGGCAGGGTACTGAGATTTTCAAAAGCTCCACTCAAAAAATAAGATAAAATAAATAAATAAATAAATAAATAAATAGCTCTGCTCAACTCTCTGAAATTGGAGAATTCCTCCTTATACATTTCAGACTATATCAACAAATTTCATACATCTGATTTGCTCACCATCTTTCAGTACCTAACAGATTCAGTGAGGAATACCTTTCTAAGCACTCAAGCAAGTTGTGGCAACTGAAGAAAAAAAAAAAACCAACCTAGGAAATCCGGGCTTCCTAACAGTACATAGATAAACTAAGACTGAGAAATTGTTCAATGTATTGGGGGTGGGTTACACTATTTTTGTATCAGATTTATTGAGATATAATTCAAATAACATACCATTAACCTATTTAAAAAGTAAAAGTTAAGTTTTCAGAGTGTGCAGCCATTACTGTAGTAAGTGGCTGGGCATTTTCCACTCCTCACAGAAACACTGACCCCTTCTGACCTTGTCTCTCAAATGCTTCCCCACCTTCAGTCCTGTCAACCACCTCGCTACTCTTTTCAGTTTACGTTCCCTACACAGAATCATACATTGTAGTGTGTGTGCATGTGTGTGTGTGTGTGTGTGTATGTGTGGTTTTGTTTTTGTGTGTTTTACATAGACCAACAATATTCCGTGGTAATAATGTATCACTCCAGATTCTACTTGTCCACTCAACTGGTAGGCATTGCAATTGTTCCCACTTGCTGACCCTTGGTTATAATGGTGCTATGAACGTTGGTATACAAGTTTTTCTGTGTGTTTAGCGTTCATTTCCGTTGGGTAACTATATCTAGATTTGTTGGGATATATGGTAACTCAGTTTAACATTTTCAGGAATCCTCACACTATTTTCCAAAGTATATGTATCACTTCACTCTTCTATCAGAAGTCAGAGTCCTGATTTCTTCACCTTTTTGCAAATCACCCTTGCTCATCCTTATGACTATAGTGGTCTTGAGTGGGAAGTGGTACCTTGTGGGTTGGATCTGCATTTCTGTAGTGAATATTGATGTTGAGGCTCTTTTTACCTGCTGTTGGCCATTTGCAAATCTTCTGAAAAATATCCATTCAGTTTCTTTGCCCATTTTTAACTTTTATTTATTTATTTATATTTTTTTGTAATTTTTTTAGGGAAGGGTCGACAAGGTATTCAGGGTCTCACTACTAGATCGGATTTGTAGTGATCCACCTGTTTACAGCTTTTCAAGAGTTGGGATTGCAGGCGTGGGCCACCACACCCAGTCTACCCGGGGGCGGGGCTGGCTCGGCAGGGTGGGGGATCAAACCCCTGGCCCCTGCACCTGCTTGTAGGCATTTTAATCTGCTGAGCTATTTGGTTGGCCCAATTGCCCTTTTTCTTTTTTGGCAGGACCAGGAATTGAACTCAGGCCTTTGCCAGGGAAGCGCTTATTCCACTAAGCCATCTCCCCAGGCCCTCCAATTGCCCATTTTTTTTAAAAGGGGTTTTTTATTATTAAATTATTAATGCTCTAAAAATATCCTGGATACACATCCCATATTGGACATGTTATTTGAAAATATTTCAATTCTTTGGGTTGTCTTTTACTTTCTTGAAGGTGTACTTTGAAGCAGACTTTTAAATTTAACTTTTTTGGGGGGGAAGTCTGGCTCAGGCTGCCTTAAGGGTGAATCTGCTAAGGCAAGTGGAGGTGGGGATCGAACCATAGTATCCTGTGCTATCCTGTGCCTGACTGCGTTTGAATGAGCAGGCACTTAAACAACTGAGCTAACCGGCAGGGCCCCCCCCCCTTATATTTAATTTTGAAAGAATAACATTTATCTGTTCTTTGGTACTTATGCTTTTGGTGTCATTGCCAAATCCAGAGTCATGAATATTTCTAAGTATATCCTCTTCTGAGAGTTTTATAGCTTTGGTTTTTGCATTTAGGTTTTTTATCCACTTTGTTTTCATTTTTTTTGTGTATATAGAGGTAAATTTTTTTTAAAAAAATTATTTATTTATTTATTTATTTTTTTTGTGGCTCAGGCTGCCTGAATGTCAGGTCAAGCTGGGGATCGAACTGCGGTATCCTGCTCCTGACTGCCTTTGCATGAGCAGGTGCTTAAACAACAGAGCTAAGGACAGGTCCCCTTAATTTTACTTGTCAACTTGACAGCGTAAAAGGATGCTCAGCTAGCTGGGTATGCTATTGAGGATTAATCTGAGAAGAGATCAGCGTTTGAACTAGTAAATTAAGTAAAGAAGATTGCTTTCACCAGTGTGGGTAAGCACTGTCCACTCTTTGAGGGTCAGATAGAACAGAAGACAAAAGGAAGGTGAAATTACTCTCTTCTTTCGACTTGGGTCATTGATATTCTGCTTCCTTTGGACACAGCGTTTTCTGGTCCTTGGCCGTTCAGGCTCCACATTTAGTTCATTTTGTATCGCTCTAACAGCATACCTGTAACAGTGTAAGACAGTGGATGCCAAGACACTAACAGTAAACTTGCCTTACAACAAACCTGTACTTGAGGGAACTAATCTAGTCTCTTAAGAACCAACTTGTCTCAGTTACTCTTCTCTCATTGCTGGGACATACCCAACACTCAAAATGAAAGAAGGAAAGGTTTATTTAGCTCACTGTTACTGGAGGTTTCAGTCCGTACTCAGCTGGCTCCGAGGTACCATGGCACATGGCAGAGAGCAGCCTTTCTCCATAGAGGCAAAGAGCAGAGAGCAAAGGGAGTGGTAGCAGCTCAGGCGGCTGGTCAGCCTCTCTCCCCTCCTTACAGTGTCATGCAAATTACCTGCCCCAGGGTGGGTGCAGCATCCACAGTCACAGTGATCAATCACAAACTCCAGAAGCCACCCCATGACTACAGGAAGCTTTGGGGGTACACCTAGACACAAACCATAACTCAACTCAATCCTGAGAGACTTAATTTACCCTTAAGAAATGCATTTCTCCATGTATGAGAACAGTGGCCTCATAACCTAATCACCTCCCAAAGGACTGTGAGATTAAGCTATGTGTTTTGGTGGGGAAAAGCACATCCAAACCATTGTGAGGACACACAGGAAGAGACTGCCGGCCTGCTTCTGAGGCCTTTGGGCTCAGAATGAAGTATATTGCTGGCTCTCCTGGTTCTCTACAGGTATGTGGTGTCAGGTAAGGATTCAACTTCTTCATTTCTTTTCATGTGGACAACTGGTTGTTTCACTGCCATTTGAGAAGATCACTGTTTCTTCCTTGATTTTTAAAAAATATATATATCCTGGTCAAAATCAGTTAACTATAAATATAAAGATTAATTTCTGGACCCTCACTTGTATTCCTTTGATATATGTTTCTGTTTTTATATGAGGATGACATTATGTCAATCATTATAGCTTTATACCAAGTTGAAATAAAGAAGCTTGATTTTTGCAAACTTAATTCTACTGTTCCAAGTTTATTTTGGTTTTTCTGGGTCTGCCACATTTTCATATGAGTTTTAAAATGTGTTCATCAATGTACATTTTTGTGTATGTTTCAAGGTTTTAAAAAGTTGACATATAGGGGCCAGGGAGATGGCTCAGTAGAATAAACACTTCCCTGGCAAGTGCAAGGGCCTGAGTTCAATCCCTGGTTCAGCCAAAAGAGAAAAAAAAAAAGTTGACATATCACCAAAAGGAATGATGAGCCATATTCTGGAGGCCAAACTGGTTAAGGTGCCACAGCTGAAGTGAAGTAAAATTAGATGAAATCTGGAAATTCTTCATTGTCTGTGGCTGTTAGAAGACCTACAAGGTTTCAACCACAGATGGCTCCATGGGAACCTGAATGTAAACAGGCTGAAGGGGGATGAAGAAAGCAAGCAAGACATTGCAATTGTAGGCATAAAAATGGACTGAGTGGGTGAGGAAGACCTGTCTTTCCTGGCCTCATCTTCTGCTCCAACCACACAGAAATGGTAAAGTAAACACTAACAAAAGGTGGTAAGACAGAAATAGCACTAAACAACCCCTCTGGGATATAAGAATCAGATTTACACCATGTATACAAATATGCAGATGCAAAATAGAATAGAATCCAACTGTTATGGTTGGATATGAAATGTCCCCCCAAACCCATGAGCTAAAACCTAATTCAGCAGCCTGTGGTTCTTTTGGGAGTTGGTGGAACCTTAGAAGGCAGGGTCTAGTGGAGGGGAGTTAGGCTACTGCAGGGTGCAGTTAGGCTACTGCAGAGGGTATCCTTAAAGGAGCTCTTGGAATCCTGGTCTGCTTCTACCCTGCCCTTCCTCCTCTCTCCTGTGTTTCCCTCCTCTTTGTATTTGCTCTCCCTCCACTTCCTTCCCTCCCCCTCCTCCTCCTCTTCCTCCTCTTCCTTCTGCTCCTTTTCTCTCACTACCCCCCCATCAAGTGAGCAGCCCCCTCCACATGCTTCCACTGCTAGATGTGCAACATCTTGGGTTCAAGGTGAGAGAGTCAAGTGGCATGCAGTGAAACTTCTCAAACTATGAACCAAAAATCCATTTTTCTTTTTAAGTAACTTATCTCATGTA